CATGCCCTAGCTCAATCACCCAGAAGACAAAGTGGTTGTCACAAGCTAAGTTCTGCTTTGAGTGCTGGAAAATGCTCCAAGTCATGAGAATCACTCAGGATTTAAAAACCAGAATTAACAGTGGAACTCATTCTGAGAGGCAAATTAATGCGGTACGTTATAGCTTATAGCCTACCATTGGGACTTGGAAACAAAGACATGGCATTATCAGTAGTTGTGAACCAGATCTACAGCACTATAGGTGTTTGTGTGACATAATTATTTCTGTGGATTAACGTCTCATGTTATATGTGTTTTCTTTATGACATTCAGTGTTTGTGCGAAATAATTATTTAAACATCCACTCCTAGCAGAAAAATCCCTGCACATGCAATGTTACAATTGTTTAGAGAAAACTAGTCTCAATCAGGAATGAGGAGACACATATTCCCTGTGATGGATAACTATTAACAAGGAAAACTATATGCTATGGGACGACATGCCTGAGTCAAAAGAAATTTTAAAAGAAAGCATTTAAGTAACAAGGGCAAGAGGGATAACATTTACCAATGCAGCAACATTTGCCTGTTGAAAAATATTCCCATCCATTTCCAGTCTGGCAATAGGAAATTCAGGAAGGTTCCTGACTGTTTTTTGCCAAGCAAAAATAACCAGGTCCTCGTAGAAGAAGATCCACACTAGCTAAGAGGAAGCAATCTGATGATTTCTCAAGCAGTAGATGCTACTAATATACAATTATAGACTTTCTTTCCCCACGACCAACTCGCCGTCTAAGTTGGTGTAACTGAGTTATTCCAGATCTCTCAGCATTCATACCAACCACCATAGATGCATCTGGAACATCAACACCAATCTCCATTACTGAGCGGAAAGCAAAAAATCTGTTTCTCCAGACCTAAACCTTCTCAATGCTTCTTCCTTTTCATCACCCTTCATTCTTCCATGTAAAAAGCCAGAGTTATAAGCCCAAAACTGATTTGATATGGTCTCAAGATCTGCAGAAGCAGCCCGAAGCTGAGGTAATTGCTCGACTGAATATACAAGATACACTGTTCCTCCTGCTTCTAAATCCTCTAGCATCATCTGTAACAAAAGAAAAAAGTTCAAATCAGTTTATTGGATTCTGCAACCATTGAACAAGATAGGCAAACTCAAATTCATGCACAACATAACAATCAGCATTTTGTTGAAGGAATGTTAATATATAGTTCTTTTTCTTGCCCCTCTCCTTTTATTGCTCTGAGAACTATAAATAAATAATTTAATAATTACACACAACTTATTAAACCTGAGATTAATTGAAGGCAACTCAATGTAAAGCACTCCTTCTCAATAATCGTGCTTTAAGCAACCAGAAAACTGAATGTAGTACATTACCTCATTTTCTACCTAAAGCATTCTATATCCGCTCTGTTTCAAAGACTACAGCACTTCTCAAACCTTGCCTGCTAAAACACTGAAAGAGGAGGAGGAAATTTTTAAAAAAATATGTGAGAAAAGTTCAGTATCACTATCCTAATTTGATGTATGAGATGCTAAAATAAGCCATAAAAAAGCGAAGAAGCATATATAAAATTTCTATAATGGAATAAATGGAACTTGCAAAGTTTTCACAAGTGCACCTAAGGACCTGGTTAGCATGCTTGGTTGGATAAGTAAAACAGCTATTAAATAAGTTAGAGCAAAAAAAGGGGCCTCAGAAAGATAAAGGCAAGCACCTTGACATTGGCAGAAAATAGCATAAGAGAAGAACCAATTTATGGCAATGAAATGTGCTACAAGTTTGTGTGTGTGTGTGTGTGTGTGTGCAGAGAAACAAAATTTCTAATTTGGTCCATCAGAAACGAATGGTTGTTAACAGGTTGAAAATTAAGGAAAACATGGTATTGATGACCTCAAGAAAGTTTAAAATATACCCAAATTTGCACTGCTTTACAGAACTTCTGAGAAAAGAAATGAAAGGAAATGCAGATACAGTAGATAGAAAGACAAGGAAAAAAAATTTTCTGCTACACCAAGCCATTGTACGGAGAGGAAAAAATAACTTAAAGGGAAACCAGGCAAGCAAGGAACCTTAGAAAATTCAAATACATCTGTAGAAACCAACTAATGTACCCTACAAAACAGCCAATTGAGTATTATAATGATCTCATTTTCCTTTATTGTCCAACAATAATAACAGATTTTGATAATCTTCTAGGGCCTCATTGGCATCCCTTTTGCAGCTGCTAGGGAGATCATTTCAATGAACCATAAAACAATTGTTTATGGTCAACTTCAACCACTCCATTATGTCCTAGCTTCTAAGTTCAAAATATAATCTCACATTGCAACCAGATCTATAAATACAATTCACACAGTGAATAAAGAAGACTGAATAGTCCAATATTTCTCTGTTCTTCACTGACCAGTCTCACTAAAGCTTCAAATACCAGCCTATATTTATGATAGCTAGGATCACTACACTTGGAAGCAGTTAAGATTATCATGTTAAGAAAATATGGTCAAATTTGAATCACATAATTCACTTTCAAAGCAAAAGAAGTCAGAATTAGAACTCAGCAGTTACCTTTCAACCTATGTGTTTAACCAGACAATCTACAACTAAACAAATGGATTTGCTTAACTTGGCAGTGTTTCCCCTAGTCATTTATCCTATTTGGCTTTTCACCTGTACTTATATTTTACTTTAAATAGCCTCTCAAATTTATCATACACAAAGACATGTATTACCTTGCATCATTCTTCCCATTCCAATTCAATCCTAGAACTCTACTCTGACTACTTCATAGCAGAATTAAAACAACAATAATCTAAATAGAATAAAAGCTTGCTTTAATCATTCATTTAAAACAAATGAGAATGGTGGTACTGTAAAGACAAATAAAATTACTAAACATAAATTTGATTCATACAATGCCACATGAATGCACTATTGAGACAGTCTGTGCCCTGTGAAACAAACTTACTGCGCCAAAAGAACATGCCTAGCTCATCAGAGCATATATAATCCTGCAAAACACAATTTGAGTTAGAATCCAGAGAATCGAATCCACTGCCGCAAACTGTACAAAAAGAAAACAAAAACAATGAGTGTTAGAACAATAAGATTTAAAAGACGGGTTTCTTTCAAATAAAAAAACACCTTTTGTTTTCTAATACAAGTTCTCGGTCTCCCTCTTCAAAATTCTGGAAGGAATTTGAAGTTGTGAGAATTGGATTGCAAGAGAGGCCAAACTTGGCAGTTTGTTTGCATGCAGTTTCTTGGCAACCAAACACGGAAACGTAAAGATAAAATATGGACGGAGATTATGCAGTTACGACGCACCTGGGTTTTAGGCAACAAGATTTCTTTTGCATGATGCGTATGTCAATGCCTTGAGTGGCTAAGAGTAAAAGCTAGTGAAGATATAGAACTCTCCAAGGAAATTTGCCGAGGCAAGGGGAAAAAACAATCTCAAGCAATTTGGCAAAAGCACATGGGCATTAACGACGGCATGAAACTTGAGAATTTAGAAACTCAAACAAAGTTTCCGTTCAGTGTCTGAATCTCATTTTTATGTTCGGTTACTTGCCTGTTGGAGATGTTCAGTAACTTCTATTCGTTTTGGCTGTCGCCATTCCTGTCTTGCTCTTCGTATTAATTGAAATTAAGATATTTACACCACGTGAGCATCACGTGATCAATTGCCCTCATTTGCTCAATAAATAGATCTAATATTTTGATGTAGTGTTTCATTCAGCCGATGTGCCATTGCCAAGACCAGGAGAATCTGCAGAAATTAGGTTAGGTCTTCAATCATCAAAATTTTCTATATTTTTGTAAAAAGGGAGAAAGGGCAGTGGCAAATAGGGGAGAGCAGGATTTTCAATCAGTGGCTCTCAAAATACCTGTGGGTTCTCTACAGGCTGCCCTGCCTTTCCATCAGCCCTGTACATCAAACTGATGTGGCTTCTACCAAGACTGTAAATGAATCTTTGGCCTCAAGGATTGAATGAAGGAAACCGCTTTTGTAAATCAAATAAAATCTCCCACGCAGCATCTCCAGGAAAAGAATTGCTCCAACACCAAAACTTCTGTGATAGCACAACCTTTTCTCTTAATCATTTTTCTATCCAGAACAGCTACTGGTTCTTTGGCTAAGACACCTTCCTCATCTGCCAAAGGAAAATGCACTTATGTTGTCAAACGGTCAATGTGCTTCTTTAATTGCGAGATATGAAAAACACGATGAATCTTAGCCTCACTAGGCAACTGCAATTTATAAGCTACAGCTCCAATCTTCTCCAGCACTTTGTAAGGACCGAAATAACAAGCAGTTAACTTTGGATAAGATCGATGAGCAACTGACTTCTGCTGATAAGGTTGAAATTTAACATAGACCCAATCATTAATCTCCAGCCGTCTATCTGACTTGTGCTTATCAGCTGCTTGTTTCATCCTGTTCTGAGCCCTATTCAAATGAAACTTCAAGAGTCGAACAGTGGCTTCTCTAGCTTGCAAGCTCCTATCAACTACTTCCACTTTTGAATCACCATGGAGGTGTGGCCTAGGCGTAGGAGCAGGCTTCCAATAGACAATTTCATAAAGAGTGTGCTGGGTCGAGGAATGGAAACTTGTATTATACCACCATTTAGCCAAAGGAATCCATTTGGCCCATTATTTAGGTGTCTCCCCTGACATACACCTTAAATAGGTTTCCAAACATCGGTTAACAACCTCAGTTTGGCCGTTGGTTTGAGGGTGGTATGCAGTAGACAATTTTAATTCAACACCAAGCAACTTGAATAGCTCCTTCCAAAACAGGCTAGTAAAAGCCTTGTCTCTGTCTGATACAATTGAGTCTGGTACCCCATGAAGTTTGTACACAGTGTCCAAATATGCTTGAGCTATTGTGATGGCAGTAAAAGGATGAGAAAGCAATATGAAATGAGCATACTTATTGAGGCGATCAACAACCACCAAAATTACTTCTTTACCAGCAGACTTTGGAAAACCTTCAATAAAGTCCTGGACACAGCAGACCAAATCTTGTCAGGAATGGGTAGTGGTTGTAGTAGTCCGGGATAAGCACGATTGTCATATTTGTTTAATTGACATGTAGAGCATTCCCATACAAACTACATGACAGCTCATTTCATACCTTTCCAATAGACAACACTAGCCAACCTCCTTATTGTAGATTCCATCCCCGAATGTCCTCCTACAGCAGACCCCTGGAAATACTGCAGTAAATTTCTCCTTAGTTCTGCATTAACCCCCAACATTAACTTGCCTTTCCTTTCTAATTGTCCTGCCTGCCAGGAATACTTTGGAAATTGAGTAGGATCACTCTTAATCTTATGAAGCAAATGGATAAGAGCTGGATCTTTCAGCCAGGATTCTCGAATCCTTGTTACCAACTCAGTGTTGACAGCAGAAATTAACACATAAGCTGGTTGCATGAGCTCTGGATAAGGCATCGACAGCACTATTGGATGATCCTTGTTTGAAAACCAATTCGTAGTCAAATTCTATCACCTTCAACACCCAAAGTTGTTGAGCTAGAGTGTGTTTTCTGATCAAGTAAGCACTCCACTTTTTAACAGCTGCCAATATGGCCTACATCTCCCTTTCATACATGGACGGTAAGAGTTGTTTAGTGGATAGAGCCTTACTAAAGTAAGATATTGGCCGACCCTTCTGGCTTAAAATGGCACTAATGCCACCACTGGAAACATCAGATTCAACAACAAAGGTGGAGTTGAAATCTAGTAAAGCCAATACAGGGGCTGATGTTATGGCTTGCTTCAACTTCTTAAAAGCCATGGTGGCTGCTTTTGTCCAATAGAAGGCATTCTTCTTCAAGAGATCAGTAAGAGGTTTTGTAATATTACCATAGCTTTGCATAAAGCGACGGTAATAGCCAGACAACCCCAAAAATCAAAACAAATTTCCTAAGGAAAGGCTGAAAAATAATGTTCATTAAACTTTGAAAGGTGGAAGGGGCATTTGTTAACCCAAAGGGCATCACTAGGAACTTATAATGTCCATGGTGTGTCCTAAATGCTGTCTTGTGGATGTCTGCAGGGTCCATTCTGATTTGGTGATATCCAGACCTGACATCCAGCTTCGAAAACCAGCAAGCACTCACTAATTTGTCCAACAACTCCTCTACCAAGAGAATAGGTAACTTGCCTTTTAGCATCATCTTGTTGAGTTGTCTATAATCAACACAAAGACACTAAGATTCGTCTTTCTTTTTAACCAGCACAACCGGTGATGCAAATGGGCTATTACTGTCCCTTATAATGCCAGCCTTCATCTCAGCAACCTTTTTTCTATCTCATTTTTCTGGTCCTAAGGTACCTGTAGGGTCTGATCTTAACTGCTTAAGATTCATCTAGAAGGGGTATCTTATGATCCTAGGGTCTAGAAGGTGGTAACTCAAAACCTTTGAGTGTTGGCTCAATAGATATTTCAAGTCATGGTGGATAGTAGACCCCTTCATTTTTTGTGTGGCACCTGTCTGACTAGATTCCACCCCAATGCTAGTGATCAACATCAACCCACCGACCTTGTGGGACATTGTAAGTTTAGCCATCTGCTTCTTACTTGGTAAATGTACTTGAGTTGCCCCCAGCCCTCGAATAGTCACCCACATGTTGTTCACAGCAAACCGCATAGTGAGCTTGCCAAAATCCCACATGATGGGACCTAACGATTACAACCATTGTATCCCTAATACTGCATCGCATCCTCTTAGAGGTAGGACCAAAAAGTCTGTGTGTTGCACCAAGCTGTGCGTCTCCCACCTCAAGCCTCTACAAAGATCCTTAGCTACGAGTTGTGAGCCATTTGCAATTGTGACAGCTATTCCTCCAGCTGAAGTACTGCACCCCAACTTCTTTTGCACTGCCTGACTTAAAAAATTATACATGCTGCCTGGGTCTACTAGCATAATCACAAAAAATTATACGTGCTGCCTGAGTCTACCAGCATAATCACTGCTTAGTTTTTAACCTTTCCCTGTATCCACATGGTCTGGTGTTTTTCTGCTCCCACTAAGGCATGCAAGGAAATAACATGCCTAATCTGGTCCTCTTCCTCCTCAACAGTCCTAGGTTCATCCAAAGTCTCAATACAGTCATAGAATTCTTCTACCTCATTAGAGTAGCTTCCACCATCCTCAGTCAACATTTGCTACTATTGTGATTGTGAGCACTTGTGTCCGGTCACATATTTGATTCCACACCACATAAAAGGCCTTTCTTTCTTCTCTCATCCCTTTCTTCCTTGGTTGGTATTCAGGAATTGTTGGTTTTAATTAGTGTAGTTTCAGGTTTATTGGTTGTCAGCTTGTAAGTATTGAGAGGGTTTACATTTTTAATAGGTTGGTTGTATGCAAAGACTGGAGGTTTAGGGTTTGGCAAAAGGGGTGGTAATGTGGATTTAGTTAAGGCAGAGGTTGTATTTGTCAGTGGAAGAGCTATAAGTTGGTTTTTGTAAGGTAAGAATGGTTTCTTTGGAACATAATGGATAAAGGATTCCATCTGCCTTGCTAACCCATAAGCTTGGTTAAGGAATTTTGGGCAGAACATTCAGATAGGTTTAGAAATCTCTAGTTTTAGATTAATAAAGAAAATACTAAGGGCGTTTTCATCAGTGATGGGCAACAAATTCAACAGGCCTTCAAACTCCTCATAATAAGCGTCCACCGTATAAGTTTGCTTCAAAACTACTAACTCAACCATTGGATCAAAGTACTCATTTTCAGTAAATCTAGAATCCTTTCCTTAATGTAATGAGTCCAACTTTACCTCCTGGAGTGTTCCTTGGCTCCTCATGAACCGTTGATGCCATTGCAGTGCCCTACCCTCGAAATGCATCATCACAACTCATAGCTTCTCCTGTTCGTTGGTTTGGTCTGCCTCAAAAAACTGCTCCATTTTCAGCAACCAGCCCCTAAAATCCTCCCCACAGAATATAAGGCACTCAAGCTTGGGATATTTAGTGGGTAGTCTCTGAGTTGGTGTCTTCTGCCTTGCTTCGACTCCTTTCGATTCTTTAGCAACCTTAGCTCTAGTTTTCTTCCTCATCTCAGAGGAAGCAGTAGCTATGGAGTCTTCGATATCAATCCCCTTTGCTGAACCCTCCATCCTGTCCATAACTTATGTAAACAATTGACGCATCTCTAATCCCAACGTTTGTAACTCCGTCTGGAACTCATTTCTGAGTTCATTTTTTCATGTTTCTCCAGCAGCCAGCAATTTGCTATCGACCTTCTCAAGTTCCTTTTGAAGCTGTACCATCTCTTTCTATAATCTTGTTGTCGTGCCGTCTGCCATTGCTAGGATTTAAAGCTTTGATACCAATTATGTGGCTTTCTACCAAGACTATAAATGAAAACCCAGAAAACAAAGCTGTAAAGAAGGAAGAAATGTTGAGAGAATAAGGAAAAGAGAATTTCAGAATTTCTTGAAAATTTTCTTGTGATTTTCCATTCACTTCCAACCTCTTTTAATGTTACAATTGAATATTGTAACTGCCTCTATAACAGAAACTAACAGAATAACATACTATAATAAAAATAACAAAAATAAAAATGTCAACTCTTTTGACTACAACACTCCCAAACATAACACAAACCTTTTTCCAATGGCATTATAGCACGGGTTTTGTGGTCTTTTTCTGGTGGGCTTTGGTCATCAGAATGGGATCTTTAGTTTTTTTACCAATTTCCCTTCTTTCCCGTGCCCATCAGATTCTTTTCACCACATTCCCGCCTCCAAAATGTAATACCTATTACTCCAAAATTTCTGTTCATTCTCCTTTTTTCCTTTTTTCAAATTTATGAACAAAAATTGGGTTTCAATTGGTTATAAGTAAAAATGGTTTTGGCAAATTTTAAGGGCTTTTCTTATTTTGCTTGAAAAATATATATCATAAATCAGTTCATCCTAGATCTTGAAATTAATTTTATTGAGAATTCCTTCTCAAAAGTTTTTGCGGTGTGGCTGGGGCTGCTGGTGCTTGCTTTCCAGTTCAATTATTAATTCCTGGTCTAATTTATCAAGCCTTTAGATTAAGTAAATGGGTGCTGACAAAAATCATTTAACTGTTGAATAGTTGATTAATTTGAATTGGTTCAATAATAGTAGTATAAGATCAGCACAAGAAGACATAGCACTGCTTGTCACTACAAAGCACAAAAACCAAAGTAAGTATTGGAGGGATTTTGATTATGAACCTTTTTGCTCTTCTCCAAGTGGCCTTCTCCAGAACCCAATCCTTAATAACAGCCTGAGAATTCAATCTTGATCAGGCGTCACAAGATGCCCAGCACCTAAAACCACGACATTGGTCAAGCTTCCCCATTTTTGCACATAACCAGCAAGCTCTCCATTTACTTTCCAAACTTTTCTTTCAGCCATCAAGAACTTCTCAATTCATTTCTTTGTCTTCACCCGTGCCTCTGTTGACACCACACCATCCCTCAAATCATATAACCCGTGATAGAACAACACCTTGCTCTTCTGCACCAAGAATTCCACCTTGTACTTGACGCTCTTCATCACATCTTCATGCAATGCAGCCGTTACAACATCACTGCACTCGTCGATTGCAATTGACTCGTTCACTCCTGATGCTTTCTTTACCTCAGCTTTGTTTAGGAATTCGTTTGGTATACTTGTCGGGTAAGGCTCTTTCAGTGAGAAGTCATACAAAGTGGCCAAACCTGTCATGTTTTGCAACAGATCCAAGGCCTTGGTTCTAGCATTTGTTGCCTCATTCCAATTCCCTATTTTAACCAACTCAACCGCCTCCCGTTGTGCTTCCTCTAGTTCTCCCTTTTGCTTCTCGTTGACTAAACCGGAATAATAAGCATTGTCGGCATGAGTAGCAACCTGGGTGAGCGGGTCTGTTAACCCATCACCTATAGCAACACCTTTCAAGTTCACTCTTTGTGACACTGGCAATTGGGGATTTTATGCAAAATGTACTACCCAATTGCAGGAACATACTTTCCTGCATAACTCTCACCAGTAATATAAATAGGACGGTACTTAAACAATGGGTTTAATGAGGTAAAACTTGCAATCGGAGAAAAAAGATGCTTGGCAACAGAATCTTGGTCTCTGGGAATTTCCTGCGGCGTTGATGCAATACTAAACCCCGTTCCAATAGGATTATCACGAAAAAGAAGACCAAATAAGCGGTTCCAAGGACCAGGATTGCGCTCATGAGACAAGTGGCTAGCGTTTTGCTTGTGAGAAGAAACGGCGCGCCATGGTCCAAGCTCAAAGAAGTTGCCGATCATGGAGGAGCAACCGGGGCCACCTTGGAGCCAAATGAGAAGCGAGGTTTTGGAGAGAGGGGAAGTGGGGCTTTGAGCTTCATAGAAGGCGTAGAAAATAGCAGAATCAGTAGCAAGATTGACTGGGAGGTAGCCTGATTTGGTGGGGGGGGGGGCTTCTTTGGGAAAGAAGGAGCTGAAGTACTGTGACAAAACAAGGAGTGGAGGCAAAGAAGCGTGAGGAGGAAGAAGCAAGCGTTTGTTGTTGATTTCCTTCCCATATTTATGAAGTGTTCTGTAAAATTATAGTGATTGGCTTGTGATGTTCTAGTACATATAAGAGCTAGTTGATCAAGAATGTGGCAGCCGGAAGAATCTTTAGCTTCTTCATACAGACAAATCACGTACTCCCCTGGTACTGATACAAAAGAGACTTAAGAGCCTGTACCGGCGGACGCTTCAGAATCAAGCATTCAAATCTTTTTTATTCAATTAGAGCTATTTTTAATCAATTTATTTATTTTCTTTACATAAGATATTTCTAAAACTGCATAACATCGTGTCATTTTAATGAATTATTTTGACATCATCAGAATTGATTAAAAGAACCGTTTAGAAATTTAATTTGATATTTC